TGGGGTATTGCAGCTTTGGGCTTAGGACTGTCATTTACATGTTAATATTTAGCAGGCATTCACGCACTTTTCTGTGCATTTTTGTATTATTCATATACGTGTATATGCAGCTGAATAAAAGCTAATTATTAGCCCTCCTGTGAATTTGTTTAATATTCCCTAAGTGATGTTTAATGGAGTAAGTATATTTTTTCATAGTATATATAAATATATTTTTCTTCCCTGGAGAAAGTCTCTTTTAGTTTGATTTGTGATAAAAAATATTTTAAAAAATTTAAAAACTGCAAAGGTTAAAAATATTAGCCTCTCTTATGAATAGTTATGTTTGATTGGCTACAGAACAAAGCACTGTTATCCAGTGACGTGCTTCATAAACCTAATTAATCTAGTTAAGGGCTAAAATTGCAACTAAAGTTGAACGCTAGCATCTTACAAAACAATTCACAGAATAATTATGTGCCGTCATCATGCAAAGACGAAAGAAATTAGTTATTAGAAATTAGTTATTAAACTATTATGTCTCCCTTAAACAGAAGTACTGATAGGAATTTGTGGGGGAAGATAAAGATCAAGATAATGACAAGGAGACCCTGCAAACATTAACATTTTGCAGTGGCCCAGCCAGAGTCCTGACTTAAATCCAATTGAGAGTCTGTGAAGAGAGCTAAATATCAGGGTGATGGCAAGGAGACCCTCCGGACATTAACATTTTGCAGTGGCCCAGCCAGAGTCCTGATCTAAATCCAATTGAGAGTCTGTGAAGAGAGCTAAATATCAGAGTATAGGCAAGAAGACACTCCAAACATTAATGTATTGTAGTGGCCAAGCCACAGTCCTGACTTAAATCCAATTGAGAATCTGTGGAAGGAGCTAAATATCAGGGTGAGGGGCAAAGCAGACCCTCAAACCTGAAAGAATTGAACCTCATCGCTAAAGATGAGCTGGCAAAAATACCAGTGAAGACATGCAAAATGCTGGTCAGCAATTACAAGTGTTTGATTGCTGTAATAACCAATAAAGGTTTTTCTATTAATGAATGAGAGAGTATGATGGAGAAAATTAGCTATTAGAAATTAGTTATTAAACTTTGATGTCGCCGTTAAACAGAGCTGGGGGAATATTTGAAAAAGTATTCAAATTCAATACAAATGTAATATAATTTAATACATAATAACACACTGGAAAGCAGTGAATTATAACATTATGTATTTGTTTGATGCTTCAACGTCTCAACATTTTGTAATACATTTGTATGTGAAATTAATTACCTCCCTTTCACTTTAGTTCTGAATTTTAACCAAAATGTCAGTAAATAAATTTTAAAAAGAGCTTAAAACACTTATGTTTTCCCTAGCTTTTGAACATGCTACATTGCTGTCGTGTCCTTTTTTTTGTTATTTTGTTATCGTTGTTTAACTTCCTTTGTATTGTACTATTTCATTATTTAGTTTTTATCCTTATATATATATATATATATATATATATATAGTCTTTATCTTAAGTTTTAGTCTTTTAACATTGCCTGTACAACACCTTTTATATCCAGTAAGGGTGTCGAAAGTGCTTTAAAAGTCAAACTGGGTTGAGTTTAAATATATATTGACCAAAAAAACACATAGAAATTGTTAGTTTTCCTCTTACCATAACTAAGTTTATATGCCGTTCAAATTACAATTTGGACACAAATGTAGCTTTGAGCATCACAACACGGCTTTAACCAAATAGCAGAACATTTTATTTTCTGAAACACAAAGCTGTTCATTCATACCTTGAGTGTCGATGAGCATCCGTAACGTTCCCAGGAGCTTAAACTGCACCGGCGGCATCTCAGATTTGAGGAATTTCAGCACTACATCCGACACACCAGCCAGGAGCATCTTAGATTTGTTTACCACTGGAAAAGAGAATTTAAAACAGAGCATATTTACAGAGGGAGAAATAATTATGAAGTTTTTTTTTTCCTGGAAATAACATTTCTAAAGGAGCTGTTGACATGGAAATGACCCTGATTTTTGGTAAAAACCAAACAATATACACATAAAAATAATACAAAACAAAAAAAATCTGAAAAATGGGTTGTGTAATCATGGAATACCACAAAGAGAAAGAGCTGAACTACTGAAATGTATTTAATAATTGAAAGTGAACGTTTTTTTTTGGTGATGGCAGCTTAAAGACGCTTCTCATATGAAGAATAAAGTCGCATGAATTACACAGGTGTGATTTTTTTTCACAGACTAGAACAGCGCGTCAAAATCTTGATGGTGCTGTGGGTCTCGTCTATCAAATCTGATTGTTATTTTGTATTCTCTATTAGACGTAAGTCAGGTGATTGGTTGGGCCATTCTACAGCTTGATTTTTTTTCTCTGAAAGCGTGAGAGTTTCCTTGGCTGTGTTTTAGATCATTGTCTTGCTGAAATGTCCACTCTAATTTCATCTTCATCATCTTGCTAATGTAGATGCTGGACTGAAGCAGCTGATATTCATTTACCATAACGAAGAGCAGAAGGTTGCTGAAAAACTACTGAGAGATTTCAGCTGCTGTCTGGGCTTTCCATGCCTTTTTTCATACCTCCCTTTCTTCATGTGTTCAATACTTTTTCCCTGCGTCATTACATTTTATTACACATAACTTCATCTGTACACTATTAGTTTTTGTTCTTTGCATATTTGGATTTCTTTGGTTGTTAATCAACATCCGGGGAAAATTTCAAGTCAACGGCACCTTCAGAAATATGCTTTATACTTATTTCCCCCACTGTAGTTTTAGAGCATATTGAGTTTTGTCAGGGGCGAAGCAGTGGCGCAGTAGGCAGTGCTGACGCCTCACAGCAAGAAGGTCGCTGGGTCGAACCTCGGCTCAGTTGGCGTTTCTGTGTGGAGTTTGCATGTTCTCCCTGCGTTCGCGTGGGTTTCCTCCGGGTGCTCCGGTTGCCCCCACAGTCTAAAGACATGCGCTACAGGTGAATTGGGTAGGCTAAATTGTCCGTAGCGTATGAGTGTGTGTGTGTGTGAATGTGTGTGTGGATGTTTCCCAGAGATGGATTGTGGCTGGAAGGGCTTATGCTGTGTAAAAACTTGCTGGATAAGTTGGCGGTTCATTCCGCTGTGGCAACCCCGGATTAATAAAGGGCAAGAAAATGAATGAATGAATGAGTTTTGTCAGTCAGGGATTGATTGAGATGTAATGCTGACCCGGGATGGCGAGGTTCCTCAGAGCGCTCAGAGCGGCGTGTTGAACCGTGACGTTTCCCTCTTCAACGTGTCTGTCTAACAGCTCCAGAAGCTTCTGTACGATGCCGGTGTCTACCATGTGGATGCAGTTCCCATCTGAACAGGAGAAACACAGATGTGCAGTTTCAAAACAGTGACAATGTAAATATCCTCATTGTAAATGACTGGTCAGACTTTTGATTCGACATTCATGTGTATCAGATACAGTGCTGTTTTAATCACTGACTTAATTGTGTGTGTTAGAACATGTCCATTAGGGGTGTCAAAATTAATCGTTTCTTCGGTGCACCGCGATGCAGACGCGGACAATTCGGTATCGGTTCAGTAATAATAATAACCGGTTATTACTGACGTAATTTACCTCATATGCGGTCTGTCACGAGGGAGGCGATCGCGAGTATTTACAACGCTCTAACTACTTAAAACTCAGAAACTGTGCACAATTTCACTGTGTGTGTTTGCTGGATCAGTCTTTCACTGACATATACAACAAAAGCCCCTATTTCACTGAGATCGAGAGAATGAAAGTACTCCATTTCTCTCTCTCTCTCTCACACACACACACACACACACACACTCACTCACTCACTCACTCACTCACTCACTCACTCACACACTCACACACACACACACACACACACACACACACACACACACACACACACACACACACACACACACACACACACACACACACACACACACACACACAGAGTGGCCCATTCGACCTGCTGGCGTGGCTTTTCTTCTCTTCTCGGCTGTTTTACAGCGTTACTTCTGTATAAAGAAACGAGCGCGTGTCTGCAGAGTTTTCTCCACCGTGTCTATCATACATCAGCTGTGAGATCGCCGCTGCCACCCGCCGCTTATCAGTGTCACTCATCAGTGAAGAGCGCAGCGCGCAAGAGCCAATCGCAACCGTTTTTGTTGAGGGTGTGACCAATCAAAGGGGTGTAAGAGAACTAGACAAGGATCAGAAAGTGAGCTGGATATTTATATTTGTTTATATTATTTGCTTAATGCTCGTTTTGTTTAAAGTTACAGTTTATATATCTGACTGTTTGTATTAAATGACAAAATTGTATTACAAATAGTTTATAAATATATTCATACATTTTAATACAAGAACTGCTGCTGTGAAGAAAATATAAAACTGTGTATGAAAAGCACCGTCAATGCACCGAAATATCGAATTGAACCGAATTGATGGCACGATAATCGGAACCGAACCGAACCGTGAGACTAGTGTAGGTTAACAGCTCTAATATCAATGTATATTTTTATAAATGGTTTTGCTCTGCTTTCGTTTTTTAAAAAAAGTCTCTGTCCACATGAAAACGCAAAACGTGCAATGATGCTTGTTAAGGGAATTTTATTATGTAATGTAAAGTGTATTTATATAGCACATTTATTGTGTATAGCCATACACCCAAAGTGCTTTACAATCATGAGGGGGTCTCTTCTCACCACCACCAGTGTGCAGCATCATCACAGGACAACGGCGCCAGTGCGCTCACCACACAATTGGGATTGGGCCTATATCATATACTGTGTATCTTATAAAACAAAAAACTCATACAGTTGTTGTTGTTGTTATTGCTTTTTGCTTACAGTACTCTAATTATTGCGTCTTTCTAACATTAATCTATTACGGGTTACACAGAAAACATTTTAAACTCTTGTTTTTTAATTGTTTTTCCTCAAATTAAGTCACTTCTACACTGATAACAACAGCTTGCATAGTGTTTAAAATTACAATAAAAATGTACACAGTGGTACATAACAAACAGCCATTGAAACAAATTGAATTACAACGTATGCATTTGAAACAAATACAGGCGGTTTTGTGTAAAACACCTGCAGAGCAATAACCACCATGATCCTGTAGTTCATGTATGTATAATGTCTTACCGTTGCGGGCAAAGTTAGCAATAGCGAGCGCTCCAGCTAGCTGGAGCTGGTGGTTGTTGGATGGCACCCATGAGAGCACCCTCTGAAAAACACTGCCTTTACCACCCTCAAACAGCTTCTGCATGGACTCATCTACAAGAAAAACACACCACACATGAGTGTAAACCCCAACACACTACCATGAGAGCCACACACAAAGGCTTTAACCTGGAGACTAAATCCTTGATCAATCTAGCGCTGGGTTTTTTAAAGTCTAAGACAGTGGACCTCCCTTTTGACACAACTTATCCATTGGCGCCCCCCTCCTCCCAAACACGCACGCACACACGAGCGCACACACACACAAAAAATTCTGGAGGTTTTCCTGCTACCTCATCATGCTTGGTTTCAAGGTGTCGCCAAAGTTTAGCGGATCTTGACAAACCACACATAAAGGTCGTGGTTCATCAGCTGGTCTCAGAAACTGATCCATTGTATTAGCAGGCATATACCTGTATTGGCGGGCTTGCCAAACAGAAGCGAATTCACAGCTATGGCCTTCTGGGTAAAAAAGGTTTTCTTATTTTTGACGTATTATTTTTTTTAGCTTTGTTTAATTAAAACGTTTAAAAATAATAATAAATACATATAATAATTTAACTTAATAATTATATTTTTATTATATGATATTTTTTCCCGCGCCTCCCCTGACATGCTCTGGCGCCCCCCAGGGGAGGCGCGCCTCACACTTTGAAAACCCCTGATCTAGCGTCTGAACACTTGAACACTTCTAGGTACTTTGAATTGTCTTGACCGTCAATGAATATGTTCACATTTATATTTACATGCTTAATTAACAATGGTGTTTCTGAGTGGTTGGCGCCATCTAGTGACTAAATAATACGCAGGTTAGTGGATGCTCCACTCAGCCATTTTCGTTTCTGCCTCTTTCTGTGTTTAATTAAAGAATTAATACACTATTACGACTCAGAACAATGTCTTGTGTGTAATTTATTTGTTTTGTGGCAAGTAGCTGTGTTATAACCAGAATAAAGTACATCCAGGACAGTTGTTTTCTCAGAATAAAGCCCTTCAGTCTTATACAATCATGCCAAGCTGTTGATAATGCAGTCAGGATTTACTCTGCGATAACAACCTCCTGGATGTGCTTCATCACTTACAAAACATAACATAACTTAGCAATATTTTATTTTAAGTCCCAAATCACACTATTAATAAACTATGTATTAACTAAGGCTATTAGCTTAATACAGTACTAATTAGCTGCTTATTAATATGAAGTAAGGTAGAAGTTGGGTTTAGGTTTTGGGCATGATTAGGGACGTTGATCATAATTTAAAACTACTAAATGAACAGTTGGCGAGGCAGTGGCGCAGTAGGTAGTGCTGTCGCCTCACAGCAAGAAGGTCGCTGAGTCACTGGTTCGAACCTCGGCTCAGTTGGCGTTTCTGTGTGGAGTTTGCATGTTCTCCCTGCCTTTGCGTGGGTTTCCTCCGGGTTTCCCCCACAGTTCAAAGACATGCGGTACAGGTGAATTGGGTAGGCTAAATTGTCCGTAGTGTATGAGTGTGTGTGTGAATGTGTGTGTGGATGTTTTACAGAGATGGGTTGCGGCTGAAAGGGCATCCGCTGCGTAAAAACTTGCTGGATAAATTGGCGGTTCATTCCGCTGTGGCGACCCCGGATTAATAAAGAGACTAAGCCAACAAGAAAATAAATGAATGAATGAAAATGAACAGTTCATATCTTAATAATAGGCAGGTAATAATCCAGTAGTTAATAGCGCGAGTTTGGACTTGAAGTAAAGTGTTACCCATAACTTGAAATATAGCGACTGGCCAATCAGAATCAAGAATTTAAGACAGCCATGTATTAAAATATTATTAACAACTATGATTTAAAATATTCTTCAGAATATCTTGTTTTGTGTTCAGGAAGATCATAAAAAATTTTGCACTTCAAGGTAAGAAAAAAAGAGAAACTTTTCATTTTTACGTAAATTATAATACTATAGAGTACTATATAGTACGCTAGTACAGTATGCGAGCCGAGTAGTACATCAGAGTTCATAGTATTCGAAAAACAGTATGTGAGAAGTACCCGGATGACCTAATCTTCCGACAAGATTCTGAAGTGCGCATGCGATGGACGCTACGCTATCCAATGATGCCACGCAAGAGAATTCATGAATGGGAGTAATGAATGGGATGCAACTGACGCGGGTAGGTCCTGGATAATGCCAAATAGTGGATGTAGTACGTCCGAGTTCCATTCATACTACTGACATTTATAATCAGGGCTTTACATTAAAGGTTCAGGACACACTGGAGAACTTTATTTAATATTAACAGATTTGAGTGTGTCGAGCATCAGTTAAGACAATGTTAGCACCTGTCAGGTTTAATTGTGGGGAAATCTGGATAATTTGGAGCTTTTGTCAGCTAATTTCAGCTTCCGGGTTTAAAATGATTTTTAGGGCGGGATCAAAATCGGCGACGTAGCGCAGAACTGCAAGTGCAATGATGACGCGTCGGTTTCTCATTATTATTCAAAGCGGAGTTTCCTTATCCTATGAGAAGAGCCGGCTGCTTAATTATTCATGAGACCTGCCAGAGTCAAGCCCGAGCTGTGAGACACGTCACGGACCCACGGCACGGGCACACAATATTTAGCCGTTCATGAAGGCTCATATGCGTTTGTTTTCATGATCCACGGGGTTTGTTGCATGTTTTCCCCCGCGATCTTGTCAGGGCCGATCATACAGCAAAGCTGTGTGTGTGATGCAAGCATTTTTTTGGGAGAGCAGCACGAGAATTAGAGAATGGCGGACATTGTCTTTTATCAGGAGTTCGTTCACATTCAGACACATCACTGTGCTACTGTGTTTGCCTAAATCCTCAAGATTACCAGCAGGGCAAACGGTTAAAATAGACAGGTCAGGAGACCTGCTGCACTGATTCTCCTGGATACAGGGATTGAGGGAGAAGTCCTCATTTATAGTGTTTACATGAACACACTTATCTTTATAATGATATAAATTGTGGTTGTCTGTATATGAAATTTCAAATAACAGATGTAACATGGCATTAAATCACTGTTCATTTCTTTGCATTTTAACTTTGTAAACTATAAACTCATGCGTCTCCTCGCGGTTTGTCTCATTTTGTGAGCTAGCTTCGTTCGCTCACGTTCTCCCCTGCTGGCCACGCCCACTCCTGCCCGATGCTCGCAGAGCTCCACGCCCATTAATCATGCATCTTTTGAAAAAATTCTGAAGTAGACTTTAACCGAAAGTGGGGGGTGTCATGGCCCTTTAACACCCGCCAACCCGCCAAATGCGGGTAAATTTCAGCTTTGGCAGGTTAGACAGTCACTCCCACTAGCCACTTTGGCTCGTTGAAAATAATTTTTCAATTGTGGTTTTCTTAAAAGCAGGGTTCGTCTATAAGAATGACCCAATATGCGTGCAAATGTGATCCTAGAATGGAGAAACAGCACGACTAACAACAAAAAATTGCATTCGCGCGAGCAGAAGAAAGCAGATGAATACCGAATGAGAGGATAATCACTCGCGATAACAGCTGATGTGATGCGCGCGACTGTTTAAAGCGTGTGCGCGCTCCTGTTTCCTTCCTTGAAGCACGCGTGCCTGGAACGCAACTGTGATCAAATCTCTTTCAAATAGTCAGGCAAATAAATAATGCTAATGCACACACAGTCTTGCTGCTTTCAAGAGCTCCAAATATGTCTTATGTGTAAGCAGTACCGGTTGCTTTCGCTTTGAACAGATTAATAATCGGCCTTAACCGTGTGATCATCCTTCCATTATCACACAGTTTGTTTTATCACCTGCTTTCTTTTGCTTACGGTTATTTATGTTTATATGGTTTAATTATCATTTTTTACAACAACATTGCTTTAATATGAGATTAACTCTTCATTTATGTGTAGTTAACTGGTGATCTGAGAGACCTGTAGCGAGGACAGATTACTGTGCATATTTTAATACATGACTATAATTATTTTTAAAAGTCAGTTGTTTTTCTTTGGTTTTTTAAAAGAAATGTTTTGTTAAATAAAAAGTATAGTATGCAGCTATATTTAGCTTGTTTGACACATTTAAATTTTGTGGCTAAGAAATAATTATTGTTTGGTGTGGTCAGAGATAAATTAGGTAAATCCTTCATTTTGAGTTCTGAAAAGTCATGCAGTATAACACTATAGCCCCTTTCACACATACACACCTTTCCGGAAAATTGCCGGCAATTTTCCGGAAAGGTTGTATGTGTGAACAGGTCCTTTTTGAAAATACCGGTAAATTCATTCTGGCTATTTTCCGGAAACAGAAGTTGTAACATTACCGGCAATTTGCCGGAATGCTGCGCTGTGTGAATGCAGAAGGAAGATTGCCGTAATAAGCGCGTGCACGTCTAGAACGTGCTGCCGTGAGACGTCTGTTTTAGCCAATCACAACAGTCAGGCGCATTTACGTCCGCGCGGTTTATGAGAATAAAAGCCTTTGAATATTTTTCCAGACACATTTAGCTGCTAGAAGTTAGTCAGATCACATTTATATGTTCTTCTTAATGCCAACTGTGTAAATAATCATCGATGAGATGCTTATGATAAGCCGTTGTTTGTTTACCTTCAAGCTTTGCGTGTGCCTGTGAAACAGCCTGTGAGCGCCTGCACACGCACATATTATGAACATCTCGACATGCGAAAGTGATCCTGCGAAAGTTGTTCACAATATTGATCATCCACAGAGTTTGTAATTTAGTCAAATGTTTACAAATACAAGCGCAGCCGTTTAAAGCTCATTTGTGGTGAATGATGTCAGAATTTACCGTTATTTTGGAATGGATGTGTGAACGCTCTTTTCCGGAAAATTTCCGTAACGTCCTCGCCTGTGTGAACAGCGCTTTTTTGAATATACCGGTAAAGTCGTTCCGGAAATTTTCCAGATATTTACCAGTATCACTGTGTGAAAGGGGCTTATGAAACCATGACCCATTTGCTCATACACGACACACAACGTGAAATGAAAGAGAAGGCATGAAGACATAACACAAAATCTAAATCAAGTAATTTTAGCATGTCAAAGTCATATTTATGGAGCCACACTGTCCAGGACACCGATCCTCCAAGACTTTATTTGCCCGTCCTTGACCTAGACCGTCACAACAGTTTAATAAAGGTTACTCCCAAAATTCACTCAAAGCATCATGGGAAAGTGTGTTGTGAGTTGGTGTACCTCCGAGCAGCAGCAGAACCATGAGGTCTGAGGCGGTCTTGAGCTGAGCTGCGTCCTCCTCGCGCTCGCTGTTCACCGTCTGCGCCACCACCTCCAGCAGACACTCCACCAGGCCAGCATCCACCAGCTGGAGCTTGATCACATCTGACACACAAACACACATACACACAGAGAGGATCACAGCACAGCCTTCAGCTCTCACAGGGGTTTCGCAGCACACAGTGACACCACACCGAGACCCAAAAACTGAAATTAGATCCAGAAGGCAAGGCAAAAAAACACTGCTCCGAGAAGCAGGCTGTCATGCTGGATGGCAATGAACTTGAAGTCGGAATGAAATCAAAATCTTCTTATTTTTATATGTATATATTAGCTCTTGTTAAAAGTGATGTATCTGTGCACTTCATCATTTTGTAAGACTTCAAGTGCCCTCGTAGTTTTTTTTCAAATATTATGACCTTTCCTCACCCCTCAAAACAACTTTTATTCATTTCTGGTCACATGGAATGCCTTTAGGGTGGAGCTATCAGTCCTTTAGGGTGGGGCTATCAGACATTTAGGGTGGGGCTATCAGTCCTTTAGGGTGGGGCTATCAGTCCTTTAGGGTGGGGCTATCAGTCATTTAGGGCAGGGCTATCAGACATTTAGGGTTGGGCTATGAGTCCTTTAGGGTGGGGCTATCAGGCATTTAGGGTGGGGCTATCCATCCTTTAGGTCGGGGCTATCACACATTTAGGGTTGTGCTATCAGTCCTTTAGGGTGGGGCTATCAGACATTTAGGGTTGGGCTATCAGTCCTTTAGGGTGGGGCTATCAATTATTTAGTGCAGGGCTATCAGTCCTTTAGGGTGGGGCTATCAGGTATTTAGGGTGGGGCTATCAGTCCTTGAGTTCGGAGCTATTAAACCTTTAGGGCAGGGCTATATGTCCTTTAGGGTGGAGCTAACAGGCATTTAAGGTAGTGCTATTAGTAATTTAGGGTGGGGCTATAAGGCATTTAGGGCAGAGCTATCTGTTATTTTGGGTGGGGCTATCAGGCATTTAGGATAAAGCTATCAGTCCTTTAAGGCCGGGTTTTCAGCAATTAAGGGAGGGGCTATTAGTACTTGAGGGCAGGGCTAGCAATTATTTAGGGAGGAGCTATCACTCCTTTGGGGTGGGGCTTTCAGTAATTTAGGGAAAGGTTATCAGTCATTTATGGCGGGGCCATGTTGGGTGGCTCAGTGGCTCATTATCATTTAAAGGGGCTGCACGGTGGCACAGTGGGTTCCAAGTTTGCCTCGCAAAAAGGTCGCTGGTTCGAGTCTCAGTTGGGTCAGTTGGCGTTTCTGAGTGGAGTTTGCATGTTCTCCCCGTGTTGACCTGGGTTTCCTCCAGGTGTTCCAGTGTCCCCCACAAGTCCAATCACATGCGGTACAGGTGAATTGGGTAAGCTAAATTGTCCATAGTTATGTGTGTGAACGGGTGTGTGGATGTTTCCCAGAGATGGGTTGCAGCTGCAATGGCATCTGCTGCGTAAAAAACATGTGCTGGATGAGTTGGCGGTTCGTTCTGCTGTGGCGACCCCAGATTAATAAAGGGACTAAGCCGAAAAGAAAATGAATGAATGAATGAATCATTTAATTAATGATTTACCAGCATTACTTGTGGCTGGAAGGGCATCCGCTGCAAAAAGCAGATGCTGGATAAGTTGGCGATTCATTCCGCAGTGGTGACCACAGATTAATAAAGGGACTAAGCCGAAAAGAAAATGAATGAATAAATAACAGCATTACAATGGTCTAATAGACGGTTTTTGTTTTATTTAAAAATAACTTTGAGCAGATCTGATCTAATATGGATCAGCATTAAATTGCATTATTTTAATATCAGCATTGCGGTCTCACCACAGCCCAGTACATATATAATCTTCTTCAGTTTCATTTTTATAAATGCATAATTAAGGCAGTTTTTTATGTTTCTAATAATTGTAAATAAATGTTTATTTAAACACATTAAATCCTGCACTGATCACAGGAGGAAAAATTTAATATTAGTTGACAGCAGAAATCAGGACATCATTCATAAATGCCTCTTCAAATACAGAAACAAGTGAATTCTCTGACCCAAAAACACTAAACCGGCCACCGTGATGTAACACACATTATATCATGACATGATTTCCTACATGTAAACAGATATAGTGTGCATGGATCCATCAGATGCAGGATAACAATCTGGTGGAGCAAATACTGAAGACTGAGTGTTGGAGGGGAAGTGAGGTCAGACTGAAGCAGACATATGGCCTGCTCACTCAGATCTGGCAGATGATGAGGAGACACCTGCAGTGCACAGGTTCAACACTGCTTACTCTTTAGCTCTCTAAAAATCACACACACACACACGCACACATGTACTCAAACACACAAACATGCATACATACACATTCATATCCATCCACCCACCCACACACACACACACACACACACACACACACACACACACACACACACACACACACACACACACACACACACACACACACACACACACACAAACACACAAACACACGCACAAACACACGCACAAGCCCACATACACACACACGCATAAACACACACACACACGTACTCATAAACACACTCACATGCACACATACACATCCATATCCACCCACACACACACACACACACAAACGCACAAGCGCGCGCACACACACACACACACAAACACACACACACATACATATACTCATAAACACACTCACATGCACACATCCATATCAGCCACACACACGCGCATAAACACACACACATTTACTCATAAACACACTCACATGCACACATCCATATCAGCCACACACACGCGCATAAACACACACACATTTACTCATAAACACACTCACATGCACACATCCATATCAGCCACACACACACACACACACACACACACACACACACACACACACACACACACACACACAAACAAACAAACACGCACGCACTCATAAACACACTCACATGCACACATCCATATCAGCCACACACACACACACGCACTCATAAACACAGGTGCATCTGTATGTGTACAGTGTGTGTGTGTGATTGTATATGTGTGCATGCCATTTTGTGTGTAGTATAGTACATGTAAATGTGTGTGAGAGTTTATGTGGGCATGAGTGTGTGTGTGTGTGTTTGTCTGTGTGTGTTCCTGTGCAGGTGCATATTTGTGTGTGTGTGTGTGTGTGTTTATGTTTACAAATGAGTGTGTATGAGTGTGCGCCTGCCTGTGCGCGTGCATTTGATTGTGTGTTTGTTTGCATGCGAGTATGTGAATGTGAGTGTGTATATGTCTGCATGTGTGTGGGTGGGTATGTGTGTATCAGAGTGTGTTTGAGTGCTCGCAAGCACATATTTGTGTGTGCATGTGTTTGTGTTCCCGATATGTGTGTTCAGGTGGATATGTGTGTGTATGTGCTTGTTGGTGTGTTTGACTGCTCATGAGTAAACTCATCCGTACTAACACACACATACACACACACACACACACACACACAATAAATACACAGACGCATGCACTCATATACACTCATATGTACACACAACCACACATATGCTTTCAGACAAACATATTCACACACACACTCACATGAATGCATACACACACACATATACACACACACACACTCATGTGTATACTTGCACACACACTAATATGCACCTGAACAGGAAAACACACAAATGCACTCAAACACACACACACACACGCATTCAGACACATTTAGACACATACATACACACAATCACCCGCACACATGCTCTCATACATGCACACATACATACATACACACACATACATAAACTCAAAAACTCATACATGAATGCATACACACAACGCTTACATACACACTGTACACACACACACACACACACTTGTTCAGTCTCGCACACACTGAACTCGGCCTGCAGTGGTGTGTAGTGTCTGTAAGTAGGCCGTTGTCGTGGAGACGGGCAGTATGGGATGGCAGCACTGTGCTCTGAATGATAACAGGCAAAGCGGCTCGTTCACACAGAAACACACACACACACACAGCTCTCCATCTCTCACACTCGCTCTCTCTGATCCTTCATGCACACGGTCAGGGATTTATGCACTTCACATTCCTTAAAGACTTTCCACTTTTCAGACTACACTCACCGGCCACTTTATTAGGTACACCTTACTAGTACCGGGTTAGACCTCAATTTCGCCTTCAGAACTGAATCCTTCATGGCATAGAATCAACAAGGTACTGGAAACATACTATGTATGTTAAATATATATTTAAAATGTAAAACTAATTATTGGTTAATGTTTTATTTATATATTGTATAATATTTTATTTATAGCTATTCTAAGTATGGGACGGCGCGGTGGCGCAGAGGGTAGCACAATCACCTCACAGCAAGAAGGTCGCTGGTTCAAGCCTCATCTAAGTCAGTTAGCATTTCTGTGTTGAGTTTGCATGTTCTCCCCGTGTTGGCGTGGGTTTCCTCCGGGTGCTCCGGTTTCCCCATAGACTGTAAAATATATGGACGTAGTATCCGTGACGTCACCCATAGGTTTTTAAATAGCGCAAAAGAAGCCACAAGTAGGCGCGGCCAACCGTCGCCATTTTGTTCGCGCGTCATCACACCCACGGCGGGATACCAAATAAGGGCAGAGAGTGAGCAGAGCTACAGACACCTGCAGACAGTTTGCTTGGACCTGATTCAGACACACTTTACTTTGGGAGAACGCTTAATACTTTATCACCTGTGACTTGTTTGTATTCAGACCACTTGTGCTTGGCTGTACACTATATCAATAAAGTGTTTAGACTATTAAACACACACTGCTGTAATACATTGAACCACTAAACATTGTTCTTATGACGTTTTTCAACAGGAGGAAAATACAAATTACTTCCAAACACTTCAGATATAGTCTGTGTTAGTTAATGTAAGACCAGCATAACACTGTATGACAACGCTTCAGATGACTGATCTAGAGCCTACAGCTAATCAATCTGTCAGATTCTGGAGTGCATTACAGCTCTAAATATAAATATAAACGATAAATGATCTTAAATAAAACAAATACATGTATAGAGATGGTATATAAGTATACAACTTTACTCACATGGGAAACGGAGGCCACGTGAATGGTTTGTGAGCACAATTAAGTGCACTCAGCATGCCATGACATCTAATAATTGTAGGAAACAAGTCCAAAAGGCAGTTGACTGTGTAAAGCCACATAAAACAACACAGAAATACGATAAATATGCCGAGTTCAGTGGCTAATCTGCAGGATTCAGCTGAGGTGACGGGACGGCGACCAACGAGACCTAGCTGTCAATCAAGTGGCCACGCCCTTAATTATGCAAACTTAATATAACTTAATATAAAGGAAACGGACGAGTTATAAAAAAATTCACCCCCCTCACAGTTGTCACGAAGGGTAATATTAGCTGTATTAACCAAAATCTTGTTTTGTAGCAGGCTGTAAACACCTTTTTTTCTGTTGTAAAGTTGGCCATTCTAACAGTGGGCTCAATTGAAATTTGCTCTGTTTTGGAGCCAGGAGCGGCCAGGACTAGCGGAATTTCGCATGAATTGCAGTTTTAGTTACTTCCGTATTGGCTTCCTGAGGGAGAGCGGGAGGTTGCCGCTTGGGTTTCCCCCACAAATCCAAAGACATGCGGTGCAGGTGAATTGGGTAAGCTAAACTGTCTGAGCGTGTGTGAATGAGTGTGTATGGATGTTTCCCACTGATGGGTTGCAGTTGAAAGGGCATCCGCTGCGTAAAAACATGTGCTGGATAAGTTGGAGGTTCATTCCACTGTGGTGACCCCAGATTATTAAAGGGACTAAGCTGAAAATGAATGAATTTTAATTAATAAACCAACTACTAGTTCTGACAAGAAAGCGTTTTGGGTTTAATAATCAATGCAAAACTTAACCTCTGTAAACAACGATCAAGTCTATATTCAACTCTCTGTCTTACCAACTTTCATTTCCTTACAATGATGCTTTTGACTTCCTTGCATGAATACGAGACAACACACACCAGTGCAGACGTTTCCACACACACACACCCCCATTCACACAGCTTTCTTTCAGACACACATTTGACTGTCGCTTCACATTCTCAGACGAGCTCGCAGACAAAAAGAGCAGCTGAGCGCAACATGCGGATCTTTTAAAAAGCGAGTCCAGATCGCAGCTGTAACACAACCTGCAGGCCTATTTGAGGAACGCATGGAGATAACACTTATTAGCCAAACGCAGAAAACACACACATCTGCCTAATTGCAGACTTCAATCTCTGCACTCAACCATAGATACATTTTTCATCAGCAAATAAGACAGATTTTGCTTTAAGATGCTCTGTTTGGCAGGTTTGAACGTTGACATAAAAAATTAAATCTTCATAATCTTAAATAATTAACAATCTACTGAACCAGAGACGCATACTGTACGTTTACATCACCAAATAAGACCGATTTTGCTTTGAGATGCCGTTTGGCAGGTTTGCAGGGTGAAGCAAAAAAATTCATAATCTTAATTAATTAACATTTCACTTAACCAGAGACACATTAACATCCCCAACACAATTGCTCATATATATCACAAGTCAAATATTTGCACACCCAAATTAAATATATACATGACTACATCGCATGATTAATTTGTTTATATTTGTATATATTACAAATTATATATAAATATATTTATTAGGAATTGTATGCATATATGTATGTTTGTGTTATATATATATATATATTTGTATATATATGTGTTTGTATATATATCTATATATCTATATATATATCTATATATATATATATATATCTATATATATATATATATATATATCTATATATATATATATATATATATATATATATATATATATATATATATATATATATATATATATATATATATATATATATATATATATATATATATATATATATATATATATAAAAAAAAAATATATATATATAAAAAAAAAAAAATATATATATATATATATATATATATATATATATATATATATATATATATATATATATATATATATATATATATATAT